TTAAACAGTAATTTCCTAAATAACCCAGAACTGAGTCTGCCTCACTCAGCTGCTCTCCGAGCAGTGATTTGAATTATTGTTACTGGTAACTATAATTTTGCATTCTTGTTCCTTTTTCAGATTCCAGTTAATAGGTGCATAAAGCTGAATGGTTTCTTATCAGATTCACTGGAATAGACTGTGCCTGTTAGCAGATCTGTTTAACAATCGCTTATAAAGAATCATATATCAGCTGATAAGATGATAATGATGACTGCTACGGTGTTTGGTTGGACTTTCTTAATGAAAAGTAGAAAGTGAAACAGTCAAAACAACACAATATGAGCACCTTGTGCTGTACAGATCACAATAAAAGAGTAGCAAAGTCAATAAATGTCCTATAGGTTTGTCTGTTTGTCCATTTTTGCTAAGGCTGTGTTCACATTATAAGGCTGAATAGGCATTATAAATCATATGATCTTATAGATAATACGATTTTTGACCTAATGTGACACAGAACTGATGTTTTCAGAGCTGTTTGGACACACACAAAAAAAAATCTGAGCCACTTTTATATAGCTCTAATGATGAAGCTGAGATCTGCTCAGAGTGAATTATCTTGGCCGTGAAGGCTCATTCTGCTGTTTAGTTAGTGTACTGTTCGTGACGCACATAGTTCTTTGATGTGACATTATTGTTTATAATAGTATTAAGTGGAGCATGTGCTCATTTTAATGCCAAGAGAAAAATTCTGAGCATTTACCGAGGTAAAAATCCAAAAAATGCCTGGTATTTTGTTTTTAACAGGGCTGTTTCGAGGGGTGGGCGGGGCCTAAGGCCAGTCAGACTATACAGGGCACATCTGCCTTTTTAGATTTGACTGTGAACTACTGCACAACATCTCACTGACCATCCAGGCCTTTTGAGCAGAACAGGAAAACCAAGGAACAACACAGGTGATTGGGTGTTGTATATGGGCTGGTTTGCATATTATGTGCCACGCGGCAATCAGATTTTAATCTGACTAACCGGAGACGCATTTGATTACCAGTGAAAATGCATGTGGATAAAATCTCATCGATCCAGATACAAGTTAAAAGGACATTTCATGATGTAAGTTTGCCCACATTAACAGCAGATTTGGGTCGTTTGCCAACACGACTGTGAAAGTGAATCGCGTGAATGTGAATTTAGCCTAAAGGACTCGTTATTTAATGATTTTTATACAACAGTTAGTTCCGGCTACGCAAGCTGATTGGTTGAGAAGCGTTCTTACCGTGCTGTTATTTCGCCATTTCACAAACACTGTGTCACTCCGCTGAGACGCTGTTGCTAAGCAACGACTTTGACAGCTGTATGAGACGCTCAAGACATTTGAACGTTTTTACTTCTTACTTTGCCACAAACAGAAAATGGACACTTTTTTTTAGATCACATTTGAGCGACAGCCGATTTGGTCAGACTCTGAAGAGACGACACTAAATTAACTTACAGCCAAACTAAATGGGCTGTAAGATGCTTTACAGACTGGCTGGAACAAAACAACATTAATACTGATCTGGCAAAAATTGACACAACTGAGCTGAACTTGATATTGCGGCAGTTTTATGGCTCAGTCTGATTTGGTCAGACTCTGAAGATCAGACTGCACATTTGGCGAATGGTGTTGGGTTCATTTCTGGCTGATTCCAGGTTGTTTAGCTGTTCTTCTGTCACAGCTGCCGACTGAAAAGCTGCTCAGTGGTGATGACAGTTTGGGAATTTAGTGTAAGGAGCTGTAGAACGATCTGCCGGCTGTGCAGCGAGTGGGCGGAGCTCGTTACTCTGACGTAGCAACAAGCTGCTCGTTAAGGAACTACAATTTGGTGAAGGAACTGCGAACATTAAAACATATTAAACGCCGCGTTCACGGCCCAGTTTATTAATTTATTACTTTATTTATTTAACTGTTGTATTAAAGCAATAGAACACTCGAGGAGTGTGTTATCGCCAATAACATCACGGCTGTGATGATCTACGGCGATCAAATCACAGCCGTGATGTTATTTCACAGTAACACACTCCCTCTCGGGTTCTATTGTTTCAGCGACAGCTTGAAGCAGAACGATAATTATGTGTTCAGCTTACTCTGTTGAGCCCTATTTTATCACTTCATGTTGTCAAGATCACTGTTTCTTAAACTATGCGGACGTGTTACGCATTGATATAATATTAGAGTTGTTTTTCTCTCTGACCCTGTGTACTCTTCCTTGTTTTATTTATATCTGTATTGTAACCTGATAAGTTCTTATCCACATGCATTTTCACTGGTAATCAAATGCGTCTCCGGCTAGTCAGATTAAAATCTGATTGCCGTGTGGCACGTAATATGCAAATCAGCCCATGTACAACACCCAATTGTCTGGCTTCTTCCTTTTTTTTCTTCTTCTGTTCAAAAGACAGGGGCCTGGGTGGTCAGTGAAATGTTGTACAGTAGTTTATACAGTTATTCACTGTCAAATCCAAAAAGGCAGATGTGCCCTGTATAGTCTGACTGGCCCCAGGCCCCACCCACCCCTCGAAACAGCCCTGATAAAAACAAAATACCAAGGATTTTATTTTGGCAAAACATTGAGAACAAGCTTCTTTTAATATTATTATATGTGATTGTAATAATCTGTTTGGAGTCAGTTTGTGTTTATAAGCAGGTTTCAGTAAAATGAGGTGTGCAGGAAGGAAGTCTTCAGACTAAAAGAAAGTAATATCACTTTAGGAGAGTGATAGCCCAGCAGAGCCTCACCTTACTCACTAATTAACTGTGTGTTGTTGTTTAATGCACAGATAATGAAATACACGTTGAATACGTTTTTCCTGATACAGGTCATGATCATGTGTAGAGGTGAGGCAAGTTATTCACTGATGCCTGTTCTACCAAATTAGTTCAAACTGCTGGTAAAAAAAAAAAAAGTTAGTATTCAGACCTTATATAGACACACACACACACACACACACACACACACACACACACACACACACACACAGTAGCGCTGTTGTTGGAAGAAAACCTTGTATCTCCAAAATGGTAGCTTTACAGGAGAAGGAAGAAACATGCTCTACTTTTAATGTAAGTCAATGGAACCAGAATATATAATATATATATATATATATAATATAATATATATATATATATATACACAGTGGTGTGAAAAAGTGTTTGCCCCCTTCCTTATTTCTTATTCTTTTGCATGTTTGTCACACTTAAATGTTCCAGATCACCAAACAAATGTAAATATTAGACAAAGATAACGCAAGTAAACACAAAATGCAGTTTATAAATGAAGGTCTTTATTATTGAGGGAAAAAGAAATCCAAACCTACAGGGCCCTGTGTGAAAAAGTGATTGCCCCCCCCCATTAAAACATCTTTGGAAAGCTGAGTTCAATTTCCCTAGCCACACCCAGGCCTGATTACTGCCACACCTGTTCTCAATCAAGAAATCACTGAAATAGGACCTGCCTGACAAAGTGAAGTAGACCAAAAGATCTTCAAAAGCTAGACATCATGCTGTGATCCAAAGAAATTCAGGAAAAAATGAGAAACAAAGTAATTGAGATCTATCAGTCTGGAAAAGGTTATAAAGCCATTTCTAAAGCTTTGGGACTCCAGCGAACCACAGTGAGAGCCATTATCCACAAATGGCGAAAACATGGAACAGTGGTGAACCTTCCCAGGAGTGGCCGGCCGACCAAAATTACCCCAAGAGCGCAGCGATGACACATCCAAGAGGTCACAAAAGACTCCACAACAACATCCAAAGAACTGCAGGCCTCACTTGCCTCAGTTAAGGTCAGTGTTCATGACTCCACCGTAAGAAAGAGACTTGGCAAAAATGGCCTGCATGGCAGAGTTCCAAGACGAAAACCACTGCTGAGCAAAAAGAACATAAAGGCTCGTCTCAGTTTTGCCAGAAAACATCTTGATGATCCCCAAGACTTTTGGGAGAATACTCTGTGGACTGACGAGACAAAAGTTGAACTTTTTGGAAGGTGTATGTCCCGTTACATCTGGCGTAGAAGTGACACAGCATTTCAGAAAAGGAACATCATACCAACAGTAAAATATGGTGGTGGTAGTGTGATGGTCTCGGGCTGTTTTGCTGCTTCAGGACCTGGAAGACTTGCTGTGGTAAATGGAACCATGAATTCTGCTGTCTAAAAAAATCCTGAAGGAGAATGTCCAGCCATCTGTCCGTCCAGCAAGTCCACCTCTGAATGGCTTAAGACAAACAAAATTAAGACTTTGGAGTGGCCTAGTCAAAGTCCTGACCTGAATCCGACTGAGATGCTGTGGCACGACCTTAAAAAGGCGGTTCAGGCTTGGAAACCCTCCAATGTGGCTGAATTACAACAATTCTGCTAAGATGAGTGGCCAAAATTCCTCCACAGCGCTGTAAAAGACTCATTGCCAGTTATCGCAGTCGCTTGATTGCAGTTGTTGCTGCTAAGGGTGGCCCAACCAGTTATTAGGTTTAGGGGGCAATCACTTTTTCACACAGGGCCCTGTAGGTTTGGATTTCTTTTTCCCTTAATAATAAAGACCTTCATTTATAAACTGCATTTTGTGTTTACTTGTGTTATCTTTGTCTAATATTTAAATTTGTTTGGTGATCTGAAACATTTAAGTGTGACAAACATGCAAAAGAATAAGAAATCAGGAAGGGGGCAAACACTTTTTCACACCACTGTATATACACGGACTATGTTCTGATCTATTTAAATCCAAGGTAGCGATAGTAATAAGCTAAATATATTCCCAATCACCATTAATAAGGTATTTTGTATTCTGAGGTGTCTGTCCCGAACCCTAACCCCTAAATTTACACTTGTGGTTTACACTTTGGTGTCCCAAAGTCTGCCTGCTCGCTTTCGTCTCAGAACGCCCACCAGTGGCAAATCGAAGGCTGCCTGAGCAACACTATGCATATTTTCGCCGGCGGTCTGCGCGCAGGGTAACAGATCTGTGTGTTGTTTATGTTCCTGCAGGTTTCGCAGTGGCCCATGTTGCCCAGCACAGCCCCTCGGCCCTGTGCCCCCCCTCCCCCAACTCCAGCTCCAGCAGCAGTGCGGGTCACTGTGACTCTGTCACCGCCAGCAGTGCGTCCACGCAGTCCTCCGCACAGAGCTCGTCAGGTAACGCGCCGAAACATATATACACAGATAGCTCATCACTTTCTGCTTTGTAATGCTGCTCTTGTGGACCCCTCTGTCTGTAAGACACCGCACACCACCACGCTGCATTCCACGCTGGCGCTTTGCAGCTCCCAGCAGTGTCCAACTTCTCAGCACGTTACAGTGTGTCACTCTGCTGTATGATAATATCGCATTATTTTAAAGCCATATGAAGATCACAGAAAGCCATGGTAGATCAGTAGATGTGACTTGAAATGTGCGCAGAGGACGGCAGCCAGTCTTTAGGATAAACAGACAAATATTAATGGATAGATAGATGATGGGTGGATGGATGGATGGATAGGTAGATCAATAGAAAGATGGATGGATAGATGGATGGATGGATGGATGGATAGGTGGATCAATAGAAAGATGGATGGATGGTTAGGTGGATCAATAGAAAGAGGGATGGCTGGTTAGGTGGATCAATAGAAAGATGGATGGATGGATAGGTGGATCAATAGATGGATGGATGGATGGATGGATAGGTGGATCAATAGAAAGAGGGATGGATAGGTGGATCAATAGAAAGAGGGATGGATGGATCAATAGAAAGATGGATGGATGGGTGGATGGATGGATGGATGATCCTGAAGGAAATATAGCAGTCACACAGCACAGTTATAATAATAAGGGTGGTACAATATGAAAAGAAGAATATATGCAACTAAAAATATACAGAAATATGCAATAAGATCCATCCTGAGATAAAAAGGCAGTGCAGTAATGAATGATGTACAGTAAGGTGTCCTTATGTGCAGACAGATAAAGTAAACCTGTGATTTAGCATAAGAGATTCAGTCCTCATCTATTGTCTTCCCTCTTCTCTCTTCTCTTAATGGTTTATTACCTCAGTTAACGTTTCTCTCAGTCTTTTTTCTCCTCGTGTATTTCAGCCTGAAAACAGTGAGTAGTAGAGCTGACGCCAGACGTAATAAATTAGGGTGAAAGTTTTGTTTCTTTAAAATTATTTTGCTCTCGCTACAGCAGCGCGCTGCTACATGATGCCATGTGATGTGGTGTGCAGCGACCTCACACTAATCGCATTGCTGTAAAACCCCACCACTGAGTGCTGCATTCACATTACCACATTTTGCCTCCAGTCATGTTAGAAGTTTGCGGTTCACGTTGCCTTAAAATGGACATGACAGACTGATCTGATTCAGAAAAGCCTTCATTTTGGTACAGTTAATATACCAGCTAACTCGCTTAACATGGTAGCAAAGTAAAAGTGAACATAATTATATCAAATAATTCTGTACTCATGTAGAGAGGTTTGCATTCAGTCACTGGTTAGACTAGCATGTATGAAGCCCCGCCCCTTCAGAGGTCGACACAGACAGAACAGTAGAGTTTAACTTTGCATTAAATTTTGCACAGGAAATGTATTCACCCCCAAAAATCTGCCTTCCACGCTGTAGACTGGGGTTCAATCCCCGCCTGGGTAAGCACCCTACACTATACCAATTAGAGTCCTTGGGCAAGACTCCCAACGCTACTTTCACCTACCTGTGTACAGTAAATACAGTAAATGTAAATGAGTGTGACTGGCTCTTTAATGTGACACAGTACTTTACTCTCCGCTATCTGTATTTTCTCCTTTATCAATATGATGTGAAGGGGAATTGCAAACATCAAAGCCAGCTAATTGCTAAAATTATTCATTTCCAATAATTTTTATCAGTGTTATTGTTAACATTGGTTAGTTGTTGCAGCCTGACAGTAAACTCTTCAGTATGTGCTGCACTCGCCGTTTTACACGTTTGTTATATTTAAGCTCTGCGAGTGTCGTAGTAATTCTCTTATTTCATTGTTAAGTTTGGGTTGGAAATTCTTGAAATGCTCAACAGAAAATTATCCAGTCAGGATTGTTCTTTCTGTTGTGTCTAGGTAGATACAGATAAGCGAGCTCTCCCATTGGTTAGGACTTCAGGGGCTGGACTGAAGGCCTTACACGTTAGATTAAATACCAACATTTTTAGGACGTGACAAAGGAATCACTTTGATTTTCGCCAATTTTGTGAGAGACAGTTGAGTTCAGTTGTTAGGAATGTAAAACAGCGGCGGCAGCTCTACGTCAGAACTCTTTACTGATAGAGTCACTGTAAAACTGATACATACAAGTTCACACGCATGTTAATATCTGTTATAAGCTTCTAATAGAACATATGGAATGATTTCTATAAGCTTCAAATGTCCATGTTTGATCTAGGACGGAAAAAAGATGTTCATGCGAATCACCATTAACGTACTTTTAAAAATCCCATGGGGTGCTAGCAGAAAATAGCATTATTGTAGATAGAGCTGCAACAATTAATCAATTAGTTGTTGACTATTAAATTAATCACCAACTATTTTGTTAATCGATTAATCAGTAAAAATTCTCTGATTCCTGCTTCTTAGATTTGAATATTTTCTGGATTCTTTATTCCTCTGTGGCAGCAAACTGAATATCTTCGGGGGTGTGGTCAGAAAAGACATTTGAGGATGTCATCATGGGCTTTGGAAAACACTGATCAACGTTTTTCACCTTTTGCTGACATTTTATAGACCAAACAACTAATCGATTAATTGAGAAAATAAGATTAATCAACAGTGAAAATAATCGTTAGCTGCAGCCCTAATTGTAGAGCAGAATTTTTGACATTGTTTTTGACCAAATTTAGACATTTGTGGCTTGAAATGCAGGTCAAGCTCTAATACACACTTCACCACTGAGTATATTAGGCATGACCTCACAACCCTGATGCAGTTGTGACTTTCTGAAAAGGTCAAGACACTGTTGACCTTTATTGTGTACCCGTAGTGGTCACCATTTGAGCCACATTTTATTTGTCATCTTCTATCAGCTGTATGTGTGCGTGAGTTCACAGTCTGCCTCATTTGATCTAGTGTTATTCCTCACTGTGCCAGAATCTGACGAGAGTGAAATATGCATCTGTTTTGCCTAGAAAGTCTCTTCTTTGAGGCAAATTGGTTCCTAGAAGTTATAATGTCCTTCAGATGTTCAGTGTTGCCTTTGGCTAATGTTACTTTTTTCAAACAGGTAGATATAAATATGGAAAGCAGTAATCCTTCATTTGTCAAGTTAAAGGGAAATTCCACCAAAATTTCAACATAATTGTGTGGTTAAGATGTAAACAAAGTCATTCAGAGTGTTTTCATATGCTACTTTCCAGAGCTGGAATTGTTCACAGTGGTGGTGATAGGAACCAGATGTCCACCTCTAAAAGCTCCCTCACAGAAAGTTCCTACATGAAATGGTTATGAATTCACTGCCTGATGACTGAGACACTGTTTTATGATAGTTTTGAGGACATTTGGGCTTAAAACATATTACTTTGAGGCAAATAGGCTCCCAAGGAAAATGTCTGTTTCCAGATTTTCCACTATTTTACCATCATCAACATATAAAAGCTGGTGGTTTTGGATAGTAAATAAAAAGAGTTGTTTACAGCGAAATCTGAATTGGTTTAAGTTTCTCTGCAATGAGCCATTTCACATCACTCTGAATGGCCTCCCCAGCCACTGAATTGCACAGAAATTTAGAAAAATTGGTGGAATTCCCCTTTAAGACTATACTAAAAGTGGAACTGAAAGGTTCTGCCCACCAAACTCATCCGGCTTTCCAAGAATTCCATGGAAAGCCCGACATAGGTTCTCAGAACACTGCCAAAGGATATTAAATGAGCTGTTACTTTTTTCCTGAGAACTGAGACGAGCATCTGAAAGGCCTCGTCCACAATTAGAGTGGCCAGTGGAGCTTCTGACTGGTTCAGATTCGACGTAGTGCTCTGAAAGCGTGCTATTAATCAGTGCGTGGGCGGAGCTGAGTCTTACTCTGTCATAGCCGCTCCCTCCCACAGCTGTGAGAAACCGACTGGTGGTCGAGGAGTGCGGTTTTGGAAAAACCTGAAAGACTTTCAACATCTTCACACCACAATAGCCCAGGATAGAACCTGCAGTGTCTTTTGAAGCGATAAGCGAGTGGTGTTGTGGCTTCTGTGAAGTCTCCTACAGATTTCAGTCTCTGAGCTGGAGGTGGTTGACTAATTCAGATATGGGCCTTTTTCTTCTTCTTCTTCTTCTTCTTCTTCTTCTTCTTTTCTCTGGTAAACTTCCTTTTAGTCTCTGAATAAATGTAATGACCTCAGAGTTCACCATAACTGAAGCAGAGTGACCTTTAAATTTCATTCTTAAGTGTATTTGTAGGCTTCCTCCCTTCTCTGGAAGCTGAATCTGAGAAGAAGAGCTCACAGTAAAAGCTGCAGAGCTGCCAGCCGTCACTCTTTTCTCTTTAATTCATGGACATGTGATCTCAGGCTCACTCTGATTTCCATAACTAGACAGTGGCCCTCATTCATTAAAGTTGTACACGGTCAAATCCGATCATGCAAATCACATAGACCGTTCTGTGTTTCATCTTTGGCGTATCCGTACTCTCGTCCGGTGGAAGTACGTGCAGGTTTGAGCGTAATATTCATATTTGCACAGACAATTACTGTACATGTTTTTACTCTGCATACCTTTTGGAACAGGTCAAATGCAGATAGGACCTTCTAATCCTAAGAACTCACCCTCTGCTTGGAATTATAAGGTTCTGGCAAAACATGAAAAAAGCTATGGGAAAGCTAAGAAACAGGAACAGTTTACTCATAATTAGTTTTAAAACATTAAATTAGTGTAACAGGTGTCTGCATGTATCAAAAAGTTACATTTAATGCTTTCTGTGACATTTTTATGACATTTATTAGTGTTATTTATTTATGTTTTATGACAGGGGTCGGCAAAATGTGGCTCCAGAGCCACCTGCAGCTCTTTTACTGCCCTGTTGTGGCTCCACAGCTGAATCAGATTTGTAGGTAAAAATAAAATAATCCTCCTTTACAGTAAAATAAAGCTCTGCTGATCGTTCAGCACAGTTTAACAATAAATGGTCTTAAACTCTGGAGTTAATGTAG